TTAAAAAAAAATACACGTATAAAGTAATTTGAAAATTATTAATTCACACTTCTTTGAGGGAAAAAATTAAGTAGATTTTAGTATTAGTGCTCAGTTTTTCTTTCTGTGTAATTAGCTATATCATGCAGTCAGAATACTGTTTTCCAAAGTTACTGGCTTAGCTGTTATGTTTTCCACAAACCTTCAGTGTGGTCAATGGCTTTTTTTTTAATGGCAGAGACCAGAGAAGGCTTAAAAGTTAATAGGAAAGATCTTGTTGAAAGGACAAAGTAAAACAGACTAAAGAGAGTTTACTAGTAATTTTTTTCTTCTATATAGTTTTCTTATAATCAATAAATACTGCTATCTACATTTCACTGTGAGGGCACAATTAATTTGCTTCTAGTTATAAAAGTCAATCTGATACCTTTTCAAGAAACTTACCTGTAATGTTATCAACCTGGGCTTTTCTTCAAGGAACTTACCTGCAATATTATCACCTTGGGCTTCTGCCATGGTGGATGCGGCACTCCGATGATCACAGAGGGATTCAGTCCTATCTCCTGCTGGCAAAGGAGGCTGCTGCTGAACACAACACATACGATTTAGTAACAGGCTATTTCAAAACAAAATTTTAAAGACCTCACAATTTGTACTTCTTGGTTGGTTGCAGTGAAGGAATATTAAGAGCTAGAAGCAAGAAGATGCAGAGAAAGGGATCAAGGCCATATTTAAAACTTAAAAAAACCAAAGACGGCTTAAAAAAAATAACATTTAAAAGTAGAATGTTACAGTTTTTCTATAGATTATTGATTTCCCCCCCTTTATATTCATGTTATATTTTAAATGAAGAAAATGCATAAAATCCTAAGCAGAGAGAGTGGTAACAGGATCCCTGGAAAGACGGAATAGTACTGCTAAAGAGAATTTTTCTCTTTAATGTGCTAATACACTACCCCAGGCAAACTTGGGTCAATGTCCTTGAGGATAAAGAGCTGAAATTTAACTCTGATAACAACCTGGTACACAGTTGCACTATAAAATTTTGTTTATCCTTAAAATCTGATGGCAAGTTTATTTCAAAGAAACCCCAGCATGTTTTTAAAAAGCACTCTAGTAAAACAGAACAGCCCCAAAAGCAGGCATCTTGAAAGGGGCTTATACTGCTTTAACATGGGCTAACCTAGACTTCTCTCAAACAGGTGTTAGGCAAAAGAGGGCTGTTTAGAGCTGCTTTTTATCAGTTTTATTATCATTTGTTGATCCTTAAATGGGAAGATGAAAAATGACAAGTGGTAAAAAGAGTCATAACAAGAGAAATTAAAACCAAAGAGGAGAAAAGGTACCTCTGAGCGACAGATCTCCGCTGACCCCACAGGATGGGCTGCTCCAGCCAATGAGCTGAGAAGGCTAAAGCCTTGGTTCCTGTCTGAAAAAAACAAAACAAAAACCATAATCATAATCACTTACACTTTTCATATACATTTTAAGTTATTAAAATGACTATTTCCTCACCATCACAATTCTAATTATAAAAACTGTTAATTACCCAGAGGTACTTCTGCTAGAGAAGGAGGGGAAATCTCCTCCTGTAAGTCTGATCCGATTTGATGGTACACACACAAAAAATAATAAAATTTTAAAAACCCAAAACCAAACCAAACCAAACCAAACCAAACCAAAAAAACGTGTTAACTATCAATTACCATAAGTTCTCAGTTCTGAAGAAAAGTAAATTTACAGGTCGAATATAATGGCAGGGCTATATTGCAATGATAAAACAAATTACTACTCCTTAAACAAACGGTTCTTCCCCCTTTCCCTTTTCTTCCCAAAGCTGAAGAGCACTTATTTTATTTGGTTTTTAAAATATATATTATAGATTATTTATGACATCAAACAACATAATTTTTTTTCTTCATTTTTATTTTTTAATAATTTTAATGAGCATTTTGGATTTCCATTCATTCATACAACATAATTCTTGATATGTAATATCTATCATATAATTACCCTAGATATAGTAACATTGTTATGTGCAGTCGAGTCAGTCACCTGCGACTCACTATGACCCTATGTTCAACAGCTCTGAAGCCTGCCCTGTCCTGAGCCAGTCTCATCTTTTCCAAAAGACTTAACTCCATTTCACCAATCACTGTCAATCCATCTCATCCGGGTCTTCCTCTCCTGTGCTATCTATCCCTCCACCTTTCCAAGCATGGTATTCTTCTCCAAGGACTGGTCCCTCCTGGTCACATGCCAAAAGTATGTGAGACAGAACTTCCAGGTCCTTGCCTCTAGTGAACAGCTTGATTTCACCCTCTTCAGAACAGACCTGTTGTCTATGGAGTGTTCAGCATTCTTCTCCAGCACCACAACTCAAAGGCATCGATTCTTCTTCTATCATCTTTAGTCATTGTCCAGCTCTGTAATGATGCATAGCATATTGCAAAGACCAGAGCCTGGGTCAGGTGCTGCTTCTTAATCTCCAGACTGACATCATTGCTCTTCAGTACTCTAGAGAAATCCTTGACAACAGACTTTCTCAATGCAATTGTCTATTATTTTCTATAATTTTATTGCTGGTGCCAAGAGTGTTGACTGTGGAATCAAGCAAGCTGAAGTTATTAACATCTCTTCTCCATCTATCATGAAGCTGCTAAGATTGTCAATATTCTCTTGGATGTTCCCCTTTTCACAGGTGTTTCATATGATCATTCTGATACATTGTATCCTTATAAAATTAATGACCACTAATCTATGCCCACAATCTAGTACCCCATCTTTTCAGATCTCCAGTGTATCTTTTCTAATTCCTTCAAAATTCTCCCTCCACTCACCAAATCCTGTGACTCCATGATTTTTCTCTTCCCCTCAACCTCCCTGTCCCTTCTCTTTCCCTCTTTGGATATTTATACACATCTTACTAGTTATGTTTTTACAAAAATGCTCTTATGCAGTATATGTTCTTACGAGACTGAGTTAGTTCACACAGTATAATGGTCTCTAGCCTCTCCCATGTTCTACAGTATTTTTTAAAATCATTGCTTCTGAGTGCTGCATAGTATTCCATCATGTGAATGTACCAGAATTTCTCAATCCAGTTGTTTGCTGAGGGACATTCAGGCAATTTCCACGTTCCTGCTATTGTGAAAAACGCTGCTATGAACATAGGTATACAAGTCTCCATTTGTACCTCAGTTCTATTTTCCTTGGAGTATATTTCTAGTAGTGGAATTTTCTATGTTCAGTTTTTTGAGAAAATACCAAACTGACTTCACTCTGTGGTCCCATTTTACAATCCCGCCAACAGTGTATGAGAATTCCAATCTTGCCACATCCTCTCCAACACTTATTGCTTGTTGTCCTGTTAAATTTTGCCACTGCCACTGGGATGGTATGGCATCTCACTATTGTTTTGATTTGCATCTCTCTGACTGCCAGTGATTCTAAGCATTTCTTAATGTGTTAACTGGCTATCCAAATGTCTTCCTCTGCCCATTTTGCCCATTTGTGATTGGGTTATCAGTCTTTTTCTTGTGAAGGGTGTAGCATTCTGCACTTTCATTATGAGAGCCTTGTCTGAGATTTTCTTTCCATCCTATTGGAAAAAGGTTTTGAGGCTAATCTTTAGAAGGCCCCATTCATTGATGTTACCCTTTCCTGGCTGTGCATTAACACCGATGTTTTACAGTTACCATGTGCTAATATGAAGCACTGATGGCACCATCTTTAAAATATTTGGTTGGTGCTGAGAAGTCAGCAGTTTGAACTCACCAGGTGCTCCCTATGAAGCAGTTCTGTGTATCCTAGAACACTAAGAGTTAGAATCAACTTATTGACAAGTTTATGCACTAATATTCCCTTTTGTAAGCTACTGAAAACATTTTACAAGATGAGGATTAACATGGGCAGATATATATGTTTCTTGGTGCAGAAGGGGATACGGGAGCACATGTAAATACAGGTATGGTGGTAGCTATTTCTATGTATTAGGCACTTCTAGTGGCTTAGTGGTAATGAGTTGTTCTGCCAACACAAAGGCATGTGGTTTGAATCCTCCAGCGGCTCTGCAGAAAACAGATGGGCAATCTCTTCCCATGAGATTAACTGCCTCTGAAAATTCCCTGAGGAGTCAACTAAGAGTCAGTTTTGACTTGATGGCACATCACAGTTTTTTTTTACATACACACACACTTTTTTTTGTTGTTTTTTAAGTGCAGCACATATATTCACACAGGGAGCTCTGGTGGCATAGTCTGTAGAGAGTTACATTGCTAACCCACAGGCCATACATCTCTAGCATTTCAAATCCACCAGTAGCTCTGAAGGAAAATGGCCAGTCATCTCTAGTTGCCATTTACCTCTTAGGAAACCCGATGAAAGGTCACTATGAGTCAAAACTGACTCAGTGGCAGCAACTTCAAGTTTGTTGGTTATTTTTTAATAAGAGCACATAAGGGCACAGTTAGACAAGTTCTTACATGTATTTAGACCCATTGGGGGGTGGAATTACTGTATTGAAGGTCCAGGACCGCAGACTTGGGGGACATGTAAGTTAAATGGTATTAGGGAGTTCATACTGATAATGCTGTACATCTTAGTTTGTGAGTAGCATTTAGGGCCTTAAAAATTTCTAGGTGGCTGTCTAAGACAGAACAACTGATGTCTTCCCAACTGGAGCAAAAGAAAGTAAAGAAAACCAGAGCCTCAAGGAGGCAATTAGGCCACAGGACTAAAATCCCACATCAACTGCAGGAGTCTCTAGCCTCGGAACAGAAGAACTAGAGGGTGCCTGGCTACCCTCTGACCAGAAACATAAACGAAGGCCCCAGAGAGAATGAGAGAAAAATGTTGGAAAACCTCTCAATTTGGTAAAATAGGCCAGGCTTAATAGACTGATAAGAGACTGCAAGAACCCCCAAGATTATCACTCTAAAACACTCTTTTTTTTAAACTGAACTCCCACAGGTTACCTTTCAGCCAAATAAAAGCTTGAGTGGCCTGTAAAATAAATGATAACATCCATGAGAAATATATGCTCCACAGAACAATCATCTATACAAGACCACATCAGCCACATCTGCCCAAAAATAAAAGGAGACAGCAAGAAGCAACAGAGACACTCGAGGGATGGTAAACAGGAAAGGCAGGGTGGAAATGGGGGTGAGTGTGGATAGCAAGCAATGTCATAAACACTTGGTACAAACTGTGCATAAGATTGACCACACGGGAAATAGAAAGTCCAGACTTTTGGCCATCCTGCATTCCCTATGCTGATCATATTGTCTTGATAAAGCAGTGGGAGAATGAGAGAAGAGCCAAAAAATTAGAAGGGAAAAAAATACCTTTGCTGGTTAAGCAACTGAAAGGCCAGTGGTTCCCACCTACCAGTCACTGAGAGGAACAAAGATGTGGCTGTTGGCTTCTGTAATGACTTTATAGTCTTAGGAACCCTGAGAGGCAGTTCTGCTCTGCCCTTATAGAGGCAACAGGGTTTTGGTCTTGGTTCTTTGTTCTAAAATGAGAAAACTGCTACTCCTTGCTGTTAAAGCCCTTTGGACTAAAAAAAAAAAACAACAAACCAACAGTCATCATTCTGTGAAGTGAAGGGCAATTATTTAGCTTCTCTCTCCTTTCTTGACAATATAAAATATTACTTTTAAGCTTCTTAATAGAGAAAAGATAATAACACCATAGTTCGTTCAGACTTTAAGGTTCAAGTTAACTATGAATTTATTATCAGGTTTCAAGTTATAATAAGCTTGAAAAAATTCTGCTCAGAACTTTCTTATGAGCAATGGAGAATTTAGTCAACTAACAAGAGAGTTCATTATGTTCCATGGCATACATTTTAAGGAAGCTAGAAACATCAATTTACCCAGTTAGAAAAAGAAGTATTTCAGTTTATCCAAAGCAGACTGCATGCTCATTAATGCTGCTTTTAAAAAAGTTGGATAACATTTTACACACATATGGCTTTAAAGAAACTTGCCGTTTTCCTTGGTTCAATGTTTATCAAAATGCTGCCCACGGGCACCCACTGGAAAACTATTCTTGTCATAGAAAAGAATTACATAATTTTTGTTGTTGTTGTTTGCTGTATTTTTTCTTCCCAGCATTCAGGGTATGAAAATGTCATTCCTATTAAGAGGGATTTATTCTTTTAGCAGGTACCTGTTGAAATTGGCTCTAACACCTATGATTTTATTGATGTCACAAAATACAAGAAATCTGTGACTCCACCTATTCATCTACTTCTCTTGGAATTTCAGGGCTACAGAAGGGGGAACTAAAGTGACGTGAGGCTAATAAATTATTTTGGAGGGCACAGTAAACTCTGGCCCTAAAACCATCTAATTTCATTTCAGTATACCAGTAAGTCTGCACTAGTGGAATAATGGATAAAAATGACAGTATAATAAAATC